TATTTTTATTTTTTTATTTATTTTTATTTATTTATTTATTTTTGTATTTTAGGGAAGGGTCTATAGTGTGTTCAGGGTCTCACTACTAGATCGGACTTGAAGTGATCCTCCTGTTTACAGCCTCCCAAGAGCTGGGATTATGGGGGCGCACCACCACTCCCAGTCTAAATTGCTGTCTCAGGGTGCCCCCAGGACCGAACTCCAACCCTGCACCTGCTTGTAGGCACTTTAATCCACTGAACTATTTGACCTGCCCATTCTCCTGTCATTTTAATAACCAAACATACTAGGGTCCCCACGATATGATTTGTCTTAGTAGTCCACTTATACAATGATCTTTTAGGTAGAATTTATTATTCATTATAGTAATAAATATTACTTTTAGTACCTTGAGTGTTTCATGATAATTGAAAACTTTTCGATATTTTTATTTAATAAATCACTGTGGAACATTCCTTTAATATCGGTTACCTCGAGTCAAGCAGGTTGACTACAAGCTCCAGGCCAGCCTGGGTCTGTAGTGAAACACTGTGTCAAAATGATGTCTTAAAAAGTGGGTGACCTGGAGTGGGTGGGGATGCTGTTGATCATAAAGCACTTTTCTAGCATGTGCAAGATCCTGTATTCAATCTCCTGCATAAACAAATGCAAGAAAAAGCTAACTAATGTTTACTAACTTATGAAACAGTTATTAGAATCAACATGATGAGACTAACCAACTAAAACAATGATATGGTTAGGTTGGAATTCCAGTAGAATATAAAAAAGGAAAATTTTGATCCAATTGAAGAATTCAATTTATTGAGTTTAAATGTTTATTGATAAATTAGAAGATGTGCTACTTAGGTAGGAAAGATGAGCAGAGAAAATGGTTTTCCCTGTTTAAGTTCTAACATAACTAGGGAAGTAAATATAAAGGCTTTAAAAGTCTAGGCTGTCATAAGATAATTTATAAAATCTAGAATTATGTTCTGTAAGACAGTACTGCCACTAGGTTGGTAGGGCATTATTTCATTGTAATGTGTTATCCAGTAGAAAAGGATAAATATCAATGAAAATATTAATCAATTGAACTGACTTGAGATTTATAATAGTTGGTTGTCTTTTGTTATTTACACTAAGAAATCAGAATTTCATTTTTGTAAATGTCTTTCCTAAGAAAACTCACTGTGTGTTCCCTCAAGATGAAATGTGAGGATAAACATTATCATTCTTTTTTCTCTTCTGTTACTCTTCTGTAGGTTTTAACATTTCCACAGATAGCTACATACTCCTCCTACAATGATACTTACATTTGTCACTTAAGTGAGAGAATTGAAAGCTGACTAGGTTTCCAAGGTCTAGGTTACTGAACTTCTTGTCACCTCCTTATGCCCTTTTCCAAATGTACTTTGAGGCAATGATATCAGTGACATTTTAAAATTGTGGCTTTAAACATTAATCACTTTCACTAGCATTCAGTTAGAAAAATCAGTGAACTCGTGCCGACTCATTGTGCATGCCTAAAAAAGAAAGCCTAGCCCTAAGGAAATTGTGTTTCTTTTCAGTGGGCATTTCCACAAATAATAAATGGAAACACTGGCATTCTGTGTACAGGGCATAGTAAAAATGTTTAAGCTTCCTTAAGTATCATGGGGGATTTAGTTGTATGTACCTATGGATATACTGTGTTACATAAACAAAGAGAGAGAACATATCTATATTATCATTCTTAAGGACATTCTAGCAGAATTTGTGTCCTTCCCTAGTGAAAAATGTGTTTATGAAGAAAAAGTCCTCAATATTCAAAGTCCATTGAAAATCTAACAAGTATTGAATGATTTTGAAATCATGTCTATAAAAATCATACAAATAAAAGTTTACTGGGCCAGCAAGATAGCCCAGCAGATTAAAGTACTTGCTCAGGCAAGCTTAGGCAAACACAGGACCAAACACTGGACCTAGGGTGGACTGAGCTGGCCACAGTCTGGGCATAATACCACATGCCTGTGATCCCAGAGTTGTGGAGGCTGAAAGCATGAGGATCACCATAAGTCTGAGCTGAGTAATGAGACCCTGCAACAGCCAAACACATTTAAGAATAAGTTTACTAGATTAATTATAACTTATTAAAATTAGAAAAATGTAAACATCTGAGGTTAATAAAAAAGCTCTGGATTAGGTCAACTGGGATAAATTATGTCAACACTTGCACTGTCTCAGTGCAGCAGACCTTTATTTCAAGGCCAGCCCAGTAGCAAAGGGAGAGTCGGAGGGAACCTGCTGTGCCTGGAGCTACTCTGAGCCTGTGCCTGTAGGGGTGCAGCAGTCTGCTAACAACATCCACTGCTAAAATCTCTCCTAGAGTTTTTTAATGCTTCTAAGTGAGACCTAATACAGGAGGATCATTTTTTGGTGATCCAAAGGGAAGGAGTGTGTGTGTGTGTGTGTGTGTGTGTGTGTGTGTCCAGTGAACAGAATCACGGTCTTAAATGAGATTTACTTCTCTTCCTTCTCCTCCTCCTTCTCTTCCTGTCTTGTTTTTTGAGCAGGGGTCTCACTGTGCAGTTCAGACTGGCCTTGAACTCACTGTGTAACCCACGCTTGCTTCAAACGCATAAGTATCCTCCTGCTTCAGGCTCCAGAGTGCTGGGATTATAGCATGTATCACCACATCCCGTTTGATTACATTTTTATTGAAACACAAAACTGTACCTTGTGCTTCAATGTTGTTTTATGCTTTCACGTGAAGAGCACTTCATGGTAAAGTGTCAAAAAATAGTTTTAGTATCCAGACAAATTACCAGTAAGCTTCCCTCTAGTAGGATGTAGATGTTATTTTACTAGCACCTTCATAGCAATAACTATAGGCAATGGGGAGTTCTGATAGCTTGTTTCTCCCTAAACTAGTCACAATTTGGGATAAACTGAGTCATCTCTTCTTTGTACCACTAACAGTGCCTCAGAAGTACTTTCAACCTCTGCAGCATGACTTTCATGCTTCTTCTTTCTGAATGCTTTCTGTTTTCATACTGTAGTTGTAGGTTTTTCCAGAAGTACATATTTCCCTGTGATTTACCCAGAGACTTATTTTCCTCATATTTGAGTCTCTGGTTTATTTTATTTATTTATTTATTTATTTTTTTGAGCCATCTCCCTGGCCTGAGTCTCTGGTTTATATTCTTTTGAGTTATATTAGAATTTCTACTTATTTTCTAGTGCTTTTAATTGTTACAAATAACTGATGATAGATCTGGGCAACTATTAATAAAGAATTTGAAATAAGTGTTCTCAGTACTGATGTAAATAAATGTTATTTTTAAAGTTAAAACTAAAAATTTCCATGGGTCATATTTTATGACACTTTTAAAGTAGTAATAATTGATAGAAGTTCAAAATACATGACCTTCTCAGCTCTCTGTTAATATACTATGTACATATACCTCAGTGAGGGAGCCAGGACCAGCAAGTAATGGACTTTGAACAAACGTCAAATCACACAACAAATATATATCCATTTGTATTTTTTATGATTCAATGCATCTTTCAGTAAGCATTTCTCAGTAGGACAAAGAATAACCACCAAAATACAATTCATACTGTATAACAACTCCTTGCTAATTATTACAAAGCTTCTCGATTTGAAACTAAATCTTCAAGGGTTATTGCTAAAAATAACATTAAATGTCTTGCAGGGCAGGCTCACTATTCAGTACTTATGACCCAAATCACAACAGCTTGCCCAAGAAAATATATGCTAAAGATTAAGGAAATCGAAACACAAAATCTTCCTCCACAGCACACACACACACACACACACACACACACACACACACACACTTTGGCCAAAGGTGATTTCGAATAAATGTCCAGTTCATCACAGACTGCTAATCACATATTAGTTTATTTTCCTTTTATGTGTATAATTTCGCTTCATCTGAATAGCAATCTAAAAGCTGTCAACATTTTCTAGCCATAGCTTAATACTAATATAATATTTATTGTGTTTGTATTTTACAATCAGATAATTTTTAGTTAATCTATTGAGTGCATATGACATGAAGAATTTTACTTCTTCATAAACATTTACTTCTAGAGTGTAGTTAACTTTTTCAATATTGTAGCAAACACACACACAAGAGCATATCAGAATATAAAAATACCAAGTCAGGTTGAAGAGAGATACGTGGCTAGATACGTACAAAATGTCACCCAAGTCTATTTGGAGTATAGAATATGATTTGAGATTGGAACTCCTCTTACTCTCTGTGAAATCACAAAGCAAGATTAGCACTATAGTTTCCTGGAAACTTATTTTTCTTGATTTTTATGAATTATATTTTCCGATTTATTTCACAGTCTACTGCGCTTCTACAAGTCAAATGTAAAAGCAAAGATTGCACAAAGATCTTTCCAATGTGATCATTTTTTGCCACTTACAAAATAGATCCATTTAGTTTGCTTTATTTTTCCTGATTAATGCTGAGATCTGGTTTGTTTTTTGTTCTAGGTTGTGGAGACTAATCTGGTTGGTTTTGACTGTCACTGGATCATTATAAATGAGGTAAAGCCACTAGCCCACATCGCTGCCTCCGTACCCTGATCCCATATGCATAGCTGTAGTGTTTCCTTCTACCTTGAGTTGCTAAGAGGGAACAGAACATGAAGTAGACTTTCAGCTTATTGAATGCTATTAAGCAAAAATAGAGTGAAGAGTTTTTAAAGATGGTAAAGGATGGTCTCTGAATACAATGAATGGAGAAAGTCCTCCCTGCTGAGAATCTTTCCATTTCTCCTCTAGGTACACACTGTGCTTAGAGAGATCGTCTTTATGACAAGTAGAGCTCTTCCTTGTAAGCAGAGAATTCCCCCCAATGGAGTGCTTGTGCTCCATTTATATTCTAATGTTGTTTCTATAATGTTTACATCTACCCCTCTTGCAAGAGGATTAAGTAGTTCAGCCTATGAATATGAATCAATACAAAAGAGAATTTTTTGCCTTTTCATAAAGAAGTACAACTGTTTTAAAATCCATGAACTTGTCAAATTCATTGTGAATTTTTATTTGGGAAGATAATGCATAAGATGAAAAATACATTACTGCCTGAGAATCGTGTGAAGTGAGCTGTTCCATTAGCAGCTGCCAGTCACAATCCAGAAAGGCGGCAGTCAGCTCAGCCCTGGACTAAGGTGTGGTCACATAAGCTGATCTTCAGTGGACTAGGGTACTCAATCATGGCAATTATTTATGAGTAGAGGTTAGGTATTGTTGTCTTTGGATAATAATTATATAATAATGTTTATTCTTTTTTTTTACTTTTTTCTATTTTAATTTATTTTATTGAGAAAAAATAGCAATGAGTCAGTTTCAAAACAGGTTAGTAGGGTAGTAGCTACAGGTTAGTAGTTGCAATAATTAATGCGTTGCATACTGTTGTCTTTGTAGTAGTTATTCAGAGTATAAGATGCAGACATGATATCTTGTCTAAACACTGTTAGTATAAATATTCTCATTGAACTAAGCGAAAGTAGTTGTATACCTATCCTATTTTGTATATAGATATATTTTTTCACTACAAAATGGTCCTTCATTTATGTCCCCCTTTTATAAGATTTATTTTACTTTTTATTTTTATTTATTTATTTATTTTTGGTGGAACCAAAAATAAATTGAACTCAGGCCCTTGGGCCTGGCAGGGTAGCACTTATTCTACTGAGCCATCTCCCCAGCCCCTACACAAGCATTCTTTCATGCTCATATAACATCTCTTTTTCACAGAGATTCTGGTACCTTCTAATTTTTTCATACCTCTGAATTTTCCTTGCTAGAGTTCCAGCCAGGTCATGAATGTTCTGCAGAATTGGGACAAATTCCAGAGTGGTCCAGGAAAGTAGACTTGAGAAGGAGCAAAGGCAGGAGTGCTCAATGAAGCTCCGTGGTAACTTTGCCGATGAGACTTTTTTTCTTTTTTGCAAAGAAATGATGTTTCAAAGAAAATAAACAGTTCAAGTATAGTTAGTTTTTAAAAGATGATATTGGGATTTATGTAACAGCCTTTTCCATGTAACAATTTAGTTGTTTTTGTTTCTTACTTTGTTTTTTGATAATCCCTACAGATTCTATTTGTAATATTTCCACTATTACAGTTAGAAACTCATGGGGAATATTTTTTCCCACTAGCCATTGTCTTTAGTGTAATTATTTCCTAGATTTTTAAAAAATAAAGAATCTTTCTAATCCTTATTTTAATCTCTAGCCTAATTTCTGCTAGGGATTACACCACACAGATATCTTGATGATAAATAAACTAGAGTCATTTTACTTATTCAAATTAACAGAGCTGACTACAAAGGAAACACAACTTGTTCTTAAAAGAAATTACTATTAAATTCATTTCTGGGCATGGTGGTACACACCTGTAATCCCAGCACATAATAGGCTGAGGCAGAAAGTTCTCAGGGACTTTGAGGCCAACTTGGGATACATACTGAGTTCAAGGCCAGCCTGAGCTATAAAGTGAGACCATATCTCAAAATAATAACACAATAAATAAATTAAGTGTAAAATGTCATTACCTTGTAATCTTTGATAAAATTGCAGAAGGCACCCATAAATTACTGTCATCCACATCTGATTTGGCTTTTACTATTGTTATCGGAAACTTAAAAGTGTGAACACAAGTAATGTGGTCATGTATTCACTATGTTAGGGTCAATTTGTGCTTTAAAAGAAATCACCCCTTCAGAGTGTGTAGGTATCTTCTGAGCAGACTAACGTGTACTTCATTGGTGAATAATAGCATGGAAACAATAATAAAAATTTTATTTTATGACGTCTTTCAAAAGCATTATATTACTGAATTAACTTTATTAGGGCTGACTAGATAGCTCAGCAGATTAAAGCACCTGCTTAGGCAGACACAAGAACAGGGGTTTGACCCCCCGCATGTCGTACGGGCCCTGCCCCTGTGGCGTGATGAGACAGCCATTGAAACTGTGCGTGGTGGCGCGCGACTATAACCCCAGAGTTTGGGAGGCTGAAAACAGGAGAATCACTATGAGTCCGATCTGTATAGTGAAACCCTGTAGACCCTGTACTAATTTTTTTAACTATCACTACTTAAAACATTAGGAAGGAAAATATTATCTGAACATGAACATTCCATCATTTTGGTAACTTTTTGCAAAACAAAACATCTGTATAAAAGAGGCAATCTAAATGATAAATGTTAAAAGAATGAACCTCAATTCTTCTCTCAGTGTTTAAACTTGGTTTTGTAAACTGTAAATTCTCCTAGCTTTACTTGTATTGTTCCAGAAGACCTCATGTGTTTTTGTTCAGAGTCTTACTTGCTAGTCCTTCAGCAAAGCATCATTTCTTCTAGACAGGTCGGTACTGCCCAGGCTTTGAAAAATGCGGTGTTCGTGACCCGCAGCATTTACGCGTGACTTTACCTGCGCCTTCTGACCCCGGTGGACTCTCAGAGGACAAGGAGGTTCGCGGGGAAACTGTTAGCAGCCAGTGCGCGCCCCCCATGGCTCCACTCAGCCACTTCGTTCTCCGAAATTCAACTTCGGAAGCTTGAGTCCTACCCTCTTCTTTTACATTTTTCCTTCCTGTGCTTGTTTCTGCAAATTGATTTTAAAAATTGACCATGGTGTCCACCAATTAAAAAGTGATTTTTTCCAATTTCCTAGAACGACATTAAACTCTAAAAGCAACAACAACAGCGTAGCCCAGCAACATGCAGCTCTTGTCCTGCCGGAGCAGGGAGAACAGGACTCTGCCTAGGTTGGCTTGTGGAGCTATTATTTTGTTGCTAATTTTAAAATGGGTTGCAAACATTTATTTAATCTTATTGCACCAATAGTTTTTTAGAGAGGGACTATAAATCAAAATTGTCATTGTGTATCATGATACAAATTAATGTAGAAAGTTGAAAACATTGTGATTTTTTCGTTTGCATTAAGTATGCTATAATGATGAGAGGCTGCGTGAGCTCATGTGGTGCAATCAATCATACCTTAGGACGTGGTAATGGTATTTGTCTTCCCCTGCAATCAGTGGAGCCAGCTCAGAACAGCCTTTTCTGCGTGTTGCATATCCCTTTAGGGTTCTGAAGCAGATAGCCTAGCACTTTATTTAAGTTTTAAAGAAGTTAGAAATTCAGATAAGGGGATAAGAAGATAGACACTGTTTAGATCTACAAGAAGCATAAATACTTGATGCAACCTTTGATTCCTAGTAATACTAACTGGACCTTTTATGTCCTGATGGGACCTTACTGACTTTGAGAAAATTAATAGTTTAAGCCATTGTTCTCTATTAGTCATTGGTGAGCACTACAGTGAAGAAGTTGCTGGTTTGGAGGCTTTTTGCTGTCGTGTAGATCTTAAGAGCCTATTTGTACAGTGGGTGTCTTTCATCTTTTTCTAGCTTAGCAATGAATTGAACTACCCACTACTAATCTGCCAAACTGGTGCTCTGGTGCTCTTCCTGTTAATATTGGAGTCTGATTCATTCCAGATTCAAACACAGCATTTGCTAATTGCTCCATAGCAACGATAGACTTTCAGGCAGGATCAAAGGATTGTTGTTGCTAAGTCATGAAGAGGAAATACATATTAGGAAAGAAAGACCTTTTCAAATAATACCCACAAGTAGACTCAAAAATCTCATAGCAGTATTTATTTTACTCAGAATTGTTTAGCCGTATAAAACATCCAAGTAACTAAAAGCAGAATTTCAGATATCAATCTGTAGAAAATGACTTGGTCAATTCCTGCCATTCATTCACTTTTTAACTTATCAGCATGTGTTGAGTATTTACTCTGAGACAGGGTCTTTGCAGTGCTGAGATTAAAGAATGAGCAAGGGAGAGATGAGTGGGAAAGAGAAAATTGGAAAATATTTTTCTGTAATGATTTCTTTATTTTTTTTCTTTTAAGGGAAGGGTCTACAGGGTGTTCAGGGTCTCACTACTAGATCAGACTCATAGTGATCTGCCTGTTTCCAGCCTCCCAAGAGCTGAGATTGCAGGCACACACCACCACGCCCAGTCTCAATTGCCATCTCAGCTTGCCCCTGGGATGGGGCTGGCATGGCAGGCTATGGAATCGAAAGCCAAGCCCCTGTGTCTGCTTGTAGACACTTTAATCCAGTGAGCTATTTGGCCGGCCCTACTTTTTAAGTGTATTTGATTGTTAGAGGGTCTCACTACCCAGTTTGGACTTGTAGTGATCTTCCTGTTTTCAGCCTCCCCAGCACTGGGATTACAGGTGTGCACCACTACACCCAGGCTTAGTGGCTGGCTCAGCATGCCCTGGGGACAGGGCCATCACAGCATGCGGGACCAGAGATCAGACCCTCATCCCTGTGCTTGGCCAAGCAAGCACTTAGTCAGCTGAACTACCTCACTGGCCCTTCTGTAATGATTTGTATAATCTTAATTGGCATCTTACTTAATGGATTCAAAGGGATAGCTCTATCCCCAAAATGTATAATTTCAATCAAAAGCTAGTATACTGAAAATCTTCATGAATGTCTCAAATCTTCCCAAAGATTTGCTCTGGCATGTAGCTGCTTGAGGGCAAACTGCATCCCCAGAGTCAGGTTTCGTTCTTGGGCCTCCCACAGTTTATGGGTCACCCTACAATATACTATAAAAGCAAGATGAATGTTCCTTATAGCCATGTTGACTTGACTCTTAATAATTTTGATTATGCAAGTAAATTAATCCAGAGAAAAGTTGATTATTCTCTTCCCCCAACAAAATAAAAATAAAAATTTGCTATATCGAAACTCACTCACTTTTAATTGCAGCACCATTTTTGCATCCAGAATATGCAGAATCAAAGACTACAAAGACAAAAGATGTTATAATTCTGATCCTTTTTTTTTTTTTTTTAATGGCAGAACCGGGGATTGAAATCAGGTCTTTGCACTTGCCAGTGAAGTGCTTATTCCACTGAGCCATTTCCCCAGCTCCATAATTCTGATTCTTTAAATTTTTCAAATTTTAGAAATGTTCTGCATAGTTTTATAGATTCATTAGCATATTTGTTGTTGTTAGGGGCTCATATTTGAATACTGTTGGTAAATTAGTTCTTCACATGATTTAAATTGTGTTTTAAATCTCACATTTTAAACATTATTTTTTTAAAATTCAGAACCCCAGAGCAACACTGAACCTAATTGTAAAAATAGGGTTTTTTTTTTTTTTGTTTTTTTGTTTGTTTTGTCAGAACCAGGGATTGAACTCAGGCCCTTGCGCTTGCCAGGCAAGCACTTATTCTACTGAGCTATCTCCCCAGTCTCTGTAACAATAGCTTCACAACTTAATACAGACATCTACTTAGAACTGTTTTTCAATGAGCACCTCTTTTAAAATTTAATAATCATTTGTCTTTTAGTGCTTAGACAACATTACACCTGTCACTCCTGAAGTGTGCTTTTTGAAATGTTAAAGTTCTGTAAATATAAAACAGTTGCCTAATCATGATTTCATGCTATTATGAAACTTTTTAAGATAAGTGGCAAACCTAAAATTATAAGTGAACTTTTTTGACTGTCAGTTACTTTCATTCAGAATGGCAGATTCTTTCCTCCTAGAAGATTACTTCTTCTTCTTCCCCAAATAATAATAGACAAACTATATTCACTTCAAATTGAGATTTCTTCAGATTTGCTTAGGCTTAGGCACCTGAGAAATTCAGCTTATGGAAAATAAAAAGAAATGACTATCTCTTTTGTGTGTTTGAAAATAGAACCGCCAGACTTTGACTAATATTAGATGACTTCATCAGTCTTTATAGAATCATCAAGCTATCAAATGCTGAAATAATATATTCCTATAGTTTTAATTCCCATAATTCATAAGTATTAATCCAGGTAATTCCTGTAAGGAAATATAGACTTCTCATATAATTACTTCAGAGAATTACTCTTTTATTACATTTATAACTTCATCCTATGAATAAAAAGTATTTTCAATGAAGATCTTGGACTGTCCTTGATTCTTTAGTTAAAAACTAAGGACAGACGTTGCCTGACAGTGTCATTTATTTAGCAGAAATTGGATAATAGTATTTTTCTTAAAGTACGATTGGCATTTATTAATTATAAATTTTCATTTTAATGTACGAATTTATAGTTATTCATATATGATTTAGAGGGACTGCTGGATAAATTTTTTTGCTAAATCTGAATTGCTAAAAAAGTTAGAGCCACATATATAATTGAAATTATTATAAAACAGAAAAGTGGTTCAATTACATTTTTATTACCTTTTAAGTGAAACTCCTTGACAGCACAATATGGAATTAAAAAAATTATATGACATTGAAGAGCAATATTAATATTAATTACTTTTAAAAGATTACAGGTTAACATTAGGGATTAAAATGGAGTTGACAGGACACTTTAATTTTGCTTTGTGAGCAGATGACAGAAAATTAAAGAGTGACCTACTCTTGCCAGAGATTTTGGTGGCCAGTGAAATGACACCGATTAAAGGAAAAAGACGGCATTTTTAAACTGAGAAAAACCATTTTTATGGTGCATTAAGGATTAATCGTCCAGAAATTCCTGATATTACACTGGATACCCTTGATGGCAGGTGTTACTGTATTTTCAGAAAAAATCTATACTTCATAAAAGCCTGAAATAGAAGATGAATTTTGTAGCTAGTATTTGCCATAAATAATATAATTAGCTTAGGAAAGAAAAAAATTATATCTGTAAATTATCTTGTTTCTTTTTCATTATTGAGCAACAATTCCTTGGATTAAAACTGAAATATGTTCACCACAGTTCAAAATTTATCTTTTATCAAATATTTTAGTTTTATTGTTGCAGGAATCTATTAACACAAATAGTTTGCTATTGTAAAGGCCCCATTAATTTAAAGCTTCCACATGGACAGTATCAAGCACAGGTTGCCTCAATAAAGAGATGGCTTTAAAACTACACTTTACTTTGACCACTTCTAGAATAATTCCAAGGCTGACCAAATAGCTCAGCAGATTAAAGCACCTGTAAGCAGGCACAGGGTCAGGGGTTCAATCCCCAGGCCTGAGGTGCTGGCCCTACTCCCTGGGCACACTGAGATGGCAATTGAGACTGGGTGTGGTGGCACAAGCCTGTAATCCCAGCTCTTGGGAGACTATAAACAGGCAGATGACTACAAGTCTGATTTAGTAGTGAGACTCTGAACACCCTGTAGACCCTACCCTAAAGTACAAAAAAGAAAAAAAATTCCAATTAGAACTACATATTATAAAAATATTTCATTTTGTATTACTTCCACATCTGTTTGTGACCCAAGCCTTAAAATTTAATTGTAGATAGGAAGTAGGGGCAGAAGGAAGTAAAATTATAATTTCTTTGAGGTTAGCAAATACTCATATGCTAAATAAAATTTATTTATTTGTTTGTTTATTTATTTATTCATTTGGTGCAGGGCTCACTACGCAGCTCAGACTTGTAGTAATCTTCCTGTTTTCAACCTCCCTGGCCCTGGGATTACAGGCGTGTGTCACCATGCTGGGTCTTGGTGGCCAGCACAGCGCACTCAGGTGGTCAGGGCCAGCACAGGATGTGGTGCCTGGCATCTAAGCCCAGTCCCTGCACTTCCCTAAAAGGGGCTTAGTCTGCTGAGCTATCTTGCTGGCCCTAAAATTTATTTATGTAAAGAACACTGGGTTTCTCCCACTTTCAGAACAGCTTACTCTGTATGAACTATCTTAACTTTTCACCTTTATATCCAGACAACAGTTATAAAGCTAACTCAGTCATTTGGTAGCATTGTGAATCTATTCCATAACAAGAGGAATATATGAGCAATATCAATAGTTCTAAGAAATAATCTTTTTTTTCAAAACTTCTTACTGTTTTTCTTCCCATCTCACTTAAAAGCCTTGTTTTGCATAGCTAAAAAGAGTGTTTATAATCTTAGATTGCAAATATCTTCCTAAGTACTGTACTCAAACTATACTTAAAGCCATTAATGAAGAATAAACTACAATAACAACTATTTTGACTTTGTTCAGTATTTTGAACAGCTATATATACATATAGATAGATAGATATGTATATATATCTAGATCTAGATCTAGATATAGATATAGATATAGATATAATTGCCATTAGTGGATTATATAATAATGAGTCGAGCCGCTAAGAATTATTAAGTCTTTAACGTATGAAATTTCAAACATGAAAAGCAACCTCAAGTGAATTGATTGTTTTAACAAACATGTGCATTTTTCGTTTGGTGAACTCCCTTACTACTTCCAGAAAACTCATTAGTGGTTTTGGGTTTGTTACTGTATTAAAGAATTTCTAAAAGTCCACTTCTTATCTTGTAGGAAATAAACGATGTGGATGTGCAGGAACTCGTCAGGAGGTCAAACGCAAGGCTGACCATCATTCGGCAGACGTTTCCAGTGCCCCAGAACACGAGTCAGCGATGTTTCCGTGGCAACCATCGAATCTCTTCAACATTATGTGATCCCAAGGATCCATTTGCTCAGAACATGGAGGTATGTTCGAGCCACTGGGTGCTGCCCTCTGGGTGCTTTGTTGAGAAGCTGCAAAGAGAGCTTTCTGAGTTGCATGGGATTCACAATTACACGGTTTATTATTTCTGAGAAATACTTCAGAAATAGTAAGTGTAATAGAAGAGGGTGTGAAGAATCTGTGTCTTTGATCCTTTTGATCTCAAGATGGAAAAATGTGAGTTGTTTAATAATTAAGGTTATTTCTTTTCTAAGCAAGCAAGCCCATAGCATTTCCCAGGTAGAATTTGTGATTGATACTCCTAATGTCAAATTCCAAATTCCTAAGCTAAAAAGTCCCTCAGTTTTTCTGGCGAAAAGACACAGATGCTTGTTCTCTTCTTAAAGGCAAACTCCAGTTTGAAGAAATTTATGAAAAACTATTTGAAATTCAAAAAATTCATAATATTATCCAGACATGTCCAAACCAGATACAACAGAGTTGAAAACTTCAGTATCAAGAACATAAAGAAGAATTTGAAAATAAATAAAATTTCTGAACAATGACATACAGAACATCAAATCTTTATATCCTGCTTGTAACAAGAAGGCCCTCTAGTACTCACTTAGGGTCCATTTCTTTTTGTTAAGGGAGATCCTGTCTGATTTTTTTTTCCTCTTTGCACTGGAGATCTCTGTGTCTAACTGAAAGGGGTGTTAGCAATAGCAGACCTTCCGGTAAGTATTGGAACCACACTCTCTAGTGAGACAAGTTTTAGACAGGGAAAAGAAGGAATCAGCAGACACACTAATTTATGTATCTTCTCAGGGTAGGGGTTTCCTGTATACTCAAATTTGCTTATAAGGGTACTGCTGGAATTGAACTCTAGTATGAACGAACATTTAAACAATTACAGGTACATATTAGCAAAGATTCAAGTTACGAGCCATTTGAAAAGTTCAGAAAACATGAAATATTTTATGAACTTCATCATTTAAGATGTTCACTTTGGGAAAACATTGCTGTATTTAGAGATATTTGGTTTGAATAATTTAGAAATATGACCCAAGGATGGCTAGTTCATTGCCAGTGACACTAGACAAATAAGGTATTTGACAGAACTACTTTTTTGAGCGCTAACCCCACAGCCTCCTTATCATTAGCTACCTTTGAGATTATTAAAAATGAATTAGCATCCATTCAACCATTTTCATATTTGGTAACATTGTAATAAGAGGTATGACCCCAGATCATTGCCCATAGAAATTTCTGTTTCCTACTGGATTTTAAACTATGTAGATCACTTTTAGGACCTGAAATCATGAAATTTCACAATGTACTTGTCTCAGTTACTCTTCCCTTGTTGCTGGGACAAATACCCAACACTCAAAATGAAGGAAGGAAAGGTTTATGTAGCTTACAGTTACTTGGAGCTACAGAAATACATTTAAAAAAAAGTTAAGAAGTAGTAAAGGCTGTTCTTAGCAAAAGGAGTAGCCAGAAATGAAAGTACAACTTAAAAATCATTGGTTGTGTCACTCAGGGAAAGTAAAAAGTATCTTAAAGCACAATTGCCAAAAACAGCATCATCAGTTCATTTCAAATAATCAGAAAGCGAAATTTTATTTAATCTGAATTCCCAAACTTACCTAGTCCATTTACACTGTGCAGAAATTCCCAGTTCCTCCCTAGCCCACATCTTTATCTTACTTCCTTCAAATGCAAAAACAGGAGAAAATAAAACAATTATTATTATTATTATTATTATTATTATTAATTTATTTTTTGCAGTACAGGGAATTGAACTCAGGACTTTACGCTTATTCTATTGAGCTATCTCCCTGGTACCTAACAATTACTTTTTCTTTGAGGATTTGTATCATAGTAATTTCCTTCCAGGTTTCCTACAATTTGGCTAAGTAATTAACATGTTAAAGCAGAACTTACAGAAACTTTTGTATGTGAAGATAAAATTAATTAACAGAGTATGAGTACAGGGCACCTGGATTTTAAGTCATTCCACTTAAAGCAGAGTATTTAGTGTTCATCCTTGCCTTGGTGGGAGAATTGTCTCACTGAACCTACAGAAAGCAACAACACAAAATGATAGTTTGCATTAAAATCTGATCAATAAAAAACTAATGACTGATAATTTGATAACTAGGAATTCTCTAGAGGTAACATCTTCAATTTCAAATCTATAGATACAATACAGGGAAATATGACAGGCAGACTTTTCATTTAAAACTCAGAAGTAGGTTAGGGAGATAGCTCAGTAGAATAAGCACTTGCCTGGCAAGCTCAAGGTCCTGAGTTCAATCCCTGGTTCCGTCAAAACAAAACAAAAAAACAAAAACAACAACAACAACAACAACAACAACAACAAAAACGGTTTGGGACCAGGGAGATGGCTCAGTAGAATAAGCGCATGCTTGGCAAGTACAAGAACCTGAGTTCCACAAAAAAAAAAAAAAAAAAAAAATCAGAAGTATGTGATATAAAATACTTTAAGAAAAATATTATGCAAATATGACCTCAAAGACCTGTTGAAATTGATAATCAACCCCAAAATCACATTAATTAATATGAAAGGATATTGAAAACCTATGTAGAGACCATTGAGTGGTTACTAATTTTAATGTATCTGGAAAGAGAATTAAAATTTAAAAGGAAGAGAAATCAAGCTTTGTATATCTTTAGTTCCAGAAAAGCTAAAATTGAGCATTTCCCTGGCAAGCACAAGGACCTGAGTTCAATCCCAGGTTCCGCCAAAAAAAAAAAAAAAAAGTTAAAATCCAGGATTAGCTAATATTGTAAAGTAAATAATAAAAGAAAATTTCTCATGTTGAAATCCAAGTTTTTACATAACGTACAGCAAGATGAAAGTCATCCATTTACTGCCTGAGAAAACCATTATTAGCTTGGCTGCTACAGAGGAGACAAAAGAAAGATTCCAATTTTTGCTTCTGTTTCATCAACATTTGAAAAGTTATCTTCAAATAGGGAATGTTAAAGTAGAAGTTATTGAAGGAAAAGTAAATCAGTGCTTTAGAAGAACCAGTGTTGGAGGTTATAAGACTGTGCCTGCTACAACTGTGGCCTACCATATACACAGCTGGTCAGAGTGACCAATTAACCAGTAGATATGGTTCTTTTTCATCATTTAGAAGTGTGAGGGAATTAGTTTAGAAGAGAGCCTAAGTAGAAGAGTGTCCCATCCACTTCAATGTCTCTCACCTTTGTACTTCTTTGTGGATTTTGGTATAGTTCAGGACAAGATCATGGTCAATGCAAGCCATTCTGCTTAGGTTTTCACATCATTCTTATTGTTATGCTTGTAATGGGTCATCTTCTGATTTTAACTGGTCAGCAGTATGGTTGATGCAGAAATGATAAAATTCTAAATGGAGAAATATCTGATAGAATTTTGCTTTCTTTATTTTCAAAAGAAAGAAAAGTTTCTCATAATTTATTGTATCAAATACTAATATTTAAGTAGATTATATATTAAGTAAATGACTTAGAATACTTAGGTTAGAAATCAGTGCTTCCATTATGAACACACTAATCCAAACTAACCCCTTACTGATACATGTTTCCTTTGGGGAGATTAAGCTGTGTGTTATGTGTTGAGCTCTACATTGTTTTTGATATACTTCCTTACCCACAGTGAAGGCAATGAAAAGTCTAGTTAGTTTGGCTCCTAGAGGTAGAAGGTAAGAACATCTCTGGGCTCAAATAGAAAGAAAATTTCAAAATATTTTAAAACTTGAGAATTACCTTTTAAAGTTATAGAATATGTGTTTTAAAAAATTAAAATTAATATTTCATATTATTTGTCACTTAAGCTATCTAGTTATTTTTCTCCAAACCCTCAAGTAATATTCATTTACCTACCTGAATTAATCAAATTTATTGATAATATAAGGACGATATAACTTTGCTATATTCTGTACATTTGAGGACTTCCTGATAGGTACAATCTACAGCAGTGACTTTTCCCATCAGTTGGAAAAGCTTGTCACCATATGAATATTCGAAGTAAAGTAATATATATTTCCCTTTTGAAATGTGAGGAACTCTGTGATCATCTACAAGATTTGGTCCTTTTCTCCAGTATTTTCAAAGTTTATCAATGAATGACTGAAGACAATTAAAACATGTCTATCAAATGTGCATATGACAAAAAGCTAGGAGAGCAAGCTTATGTCATATTGCATAATCAAGATCCATATCACTGCTATTGGCTGACTGATAAGCCTTAAAGTTTAAATTTTGCAGAGATAAAGTGTAGGTTCAAAATCAATTACACCAAGTCCAGATGTAAGTGTCTGGCTCTGACAGCTGCTCAAAGCTGCTGAGTTGAGGGGAAATGCAGAATAAGCACAGTGGAAGTCAGGTTCGCTCTAAGCCATTTTAATATCATCTTGGACTCTATGTCAAAAGTACTTTGCTAAGATCAAGAAATAAAATGTCTTACACCCTGTCTCCTGGTCGGATCAGATCTGCATTCATGTGTCAGTTCCAGTTACATTTGTAATGGAAACACTGGAAAACAGAAGGATAGAGGAAGAGAATGGAGTGGATGAGCAGCAGAAGTGAAGCGGGGTCCCCAGCACAGGTGACAGATGGTGTCAAACATTGTCACGTTGGCTAATGGAAGTTCAGTGATAGAAAACAAGTGCAGTGACAATAAGCTACAGGGCAATGTGGGATACTGGAATTTAAGATTTTAGGAATGCTATAAGATTATATTATCAAATAGCTATTTGTGTGGTTCCTGGCCCAAGTGGAAGGACAGAGCATTTGTGTAGAAATGAAAGTCACCATTGTTAAACACTAAAAGACACTTTGTGATCATCTTGAGGGAAGAGTCAAAGATGCCATGAATATAGAGGACAAAAAGGTCAGTAGATGATCACAGAGAGAAGAGAGAAGATGAACTTGAAAGGAAATTGGGCATTTGATTGAAAGAAACACAACAGATGAGGGCAGTGGGTTCTTATCACCTCCACTTCTTGTCCTAGCATTTAGAATATGGACCAATGAGGAGAGCCAGCCAATTGTTGGAAACAACTATCATGTATGGAGAATGAGGCACTCACCATTAAGCAGAGCATGGATGCTCTTAGCCTCAATATTGGCAACAGAGACCATATCCCACAAGTCTCAGGCACAAGTGTAATCCAACTTTTGAGATTTCTTGCGTCTTGACTTCAGTTAAACTCACATTACTTTAACTTTGAGATTCTTTTTTTCTTCTTTCCCTTGTTTACTTTTACTTGTGGAATGTTTACCACACTTGAAGATGGTTTAGTCTATTGGCTAAATCCAAGGGAGATAAGTATAGGAAAACAAAAGTACAAGGGGAAATGGTGTACAATATGCATCTGAATTCAGAAAGCAATCATTCTATTGTGAAAGATAAATACTGAAAAGAAAAGAAAAAAATCTTAGCAATGTGTGTTTCAGTAGAGGTATGTGCAAGTGCACTAGGAAAGACAAAGAGGACCCTTCAGCATAGTGTAGGCTAAGAGAGAGGATGAGGTAGGAGATCCTAGCAGGTAATCTTGAACTGAATATTGAAGGAATTTAACTGGTTGGAGAAATGGAAAAACACATCAAAGGATGCTATCAACCAGTCTCACACACACATAAACTAGTCCATCAAAGGGAGAAGAAAAATGGAAAAGAAATAAGAGGAAGCAAATCTGAGGCAGTAGAGCTGGGAGGATTTAAAATCTCTATCAAAGAATTTTCCTAGGTTATTGAGTACAGAGGCAGTGACTCTTTATGCTTCTTCTGTATTTTTATACTAGATCTTTATCATCTTAGTCTGACCAGAATATTGATTCATGGCCTATGTGTGTCACAATTCATGCATGGTAGATTTAAGCCATGCCTTCTAATCTGTCTCAGTGACCTGGGTGAAGAAGGGTGAAAATAACCAGTGTTAATATCTACTTATAAGGAACAAACTTGCATTGTACGCAAAACATGACAGTATTCAATGGTTCTTTAAAGAAACTTCTCTCCTGTTATTTTCCACACATGTTGTCTAAATGTGAATGACTGAAGATTTATGATACGTGTAAGAACCCTCAGAAGGCACAGTTAGGACATTCTTGCTGACAGCTGTGCGCAGTGTCTGACTCATCACCCCCACAGCCGGATCTTAGTACTGTTCCATACCAGGCCATAGATTTCCTTCTTGGTTTATTACAGCCAAATGACCATCCACATACTCTGCCTTTTCTTTAAAAAAAATGTAAGAAGAAGATAGTTAAATCTAAGAGACTTGAATGAGAGAAGATTTGAAGGCTTTAAGAAGAAATTAATTTCTGTCACTATCCTGATTTATCATTCTCAATTTTATGCCAGGTTTTTACTTCTGAGAGGTAATAACATTTAAGAGGTTTAAACTGCCCTAGGATCCCTTTTGATGTTCTTTTTTTTCTAAATAAATTCTACCTTCTTTGAAAAATAAGCACCTTTGGAAATTAATTGGTGTTACAGATAGTAGTTCTAGTAAGACTTAATTGTGAGAGTGCAAACACCTGAGGAAAAAATGGTGACAATGCATGTTTAAATTTGTGTAGAAATAAGAAAAGGCCATGGTTGGCTTGGAAGAAGAAAGAATAGAAACACGTTTACAAGCTGTTAGCAGTTGGCTGTACTCACCATGTCGATGAACTGCAATGCATGTGTGTAGCTGTGTCATTTAGTACAGATAATGATCATTACAATATTTATGAATGGCCCTGCCTGCTCTCGTTTCTTCATTACAGACCCCCCCACACACACACACACACAAATCTACACACAGATGGCTGCTTCCTTTTTTTGTCTTATGACACTCATATGCAAGATTAGGTTGATATTTCTCCATCTGAATAACTAAAGTGCAGAAATCTGACACATTCTGATAATGTATTATTCAGTATGCCCTTCCAGTCTTTAGCACTTAGATCTTTACTTCCCCAGAAAGAAATAGGGCCAGTGATTTTCTATGGTCTGACACTAACAGCCTTGCCTCTGTCGAGACTTCTCTTTTTTATCTTCTCTTTCATACCTAAATAAGCTGAAAAAAACCATTTGAGGCATACAATCAGACAAGACTTCATTCTCAATGGCAAAATTGCCTGGAAAATGAAAAAAAGAAACCTGCTTAATAAATAGCCCTGTAAACCAGCCGCTTTGACATGAACAGAGGAGGCAGCTGAGCCGACGATTCTCTCCTGATTGTAGATGGCTGGCATCAATGATTCTAATGATTGCTGTCTAATGTCTTTTCAGATTTCAAACCTTTACATATACGACACGGTGCTTCTCCTTGCTAATGCTTTTCATAAGAAGCTGGAGGACAGAAAGTGGCACAGCATGGCAAGTTTGTCATGCATCAGAAAGAATTCCAAGCCCTGGCAGGGAGGACGTTCCATGTTAGAGACCATCAAGAAGGTAACTACCGACAAGCATCTAACTGTTCTTCGTTTGCATGTGAAGAGGCTGTAATAAATCCGTGTTGGTTGAAACATCCTTTAAAGGTTGTTTTTCTCACTAGTACTTCTGCAAGCTCAAAGCACAAAATGGGGAAATGAAATATTAAAAAAAAAATAAATAAAGGCCTGAGGGTGGCAACATGAATAAAAAAGGAGCCTTTATTTATCTGCAAGAGAAGTTGTACAAGTAAAAAATGAGTAGTTGAGATACTTTAAATTGCCCTGGGTGTATCATTTAGGTAAAAGATATACCAATTACTTTTGTGGCTGACACAAGGCACAAAAACTTGTTTCATTGTTTGGGAAACCATAGCATAAACTAAAAAAAAAATTTTTTTGCAGTATCTAGCAGTTCTTCATATAGATGAACCATGGTAGGACACTGGATGTCCCAACCTTTTGTTTATCTTATAATGTAGATATGATTCACAAATAGTGACTGTGACACCCTGGAACAATTCTAAAAACTTGATTACACTCAATTCTGTCTTTCTGCTGCCCAGCCTGGCAGCAACCTGCTTGGGCTTAGTACCTGTTCCATTCCCAGGAGGCAGTTTACATTGTTCAGCTCTTCTAGGTGGTACAAGCACTCTGCAGATTATGAGCTTCTTTGTCATGTCATTGTGGCTGACATCTTCCATTTGTCCTGCACAACTTCTTGGATTTAAAAGGGAATGATTAATAAAACAAACAAATCCTCCTTCTAGAAAGGCGACAGTCATTTAAAAGTGTATGTTTTTTTTTTTAAATGTTACTTGTCTCTCTGCATATGTTTGTGCTTTTCTCCTGAAGCAAAAAGAAAAATAACTAGTCATTGGAAATATACGTGTGCTTAGAGAAGTCAGAGAAAAATTGAAAATTTTAATGTTAGAGGTAAGATAGGTGCAGAAAGACAGGAAGTAGAGAGAAAAAAGTCTTTCAAATAGAGAATACCAAGAACGTTTTTGTAGTCCCCTATTTCCTCTTTCTAAAAGAATCACTTCAATGAGAATTTAGGCTCATGTCAACTGAAGTACTTGAGAATTAAATTTATTGATTGTATTGGCAGAGAAACACTTTTTTCAACTGAGAAATGAACAAGTCCAATAGAAATTGAGGTGTTGCCAAAATCTAGCAGGTTTATCTATGCAAAGGGCTGGCAGGTATGAATCCAAGAGAAGTTGTTGAACATGATCTGATCCTGGCAATTTATTAATTCCTGGTGTGCCTAGGACCCAGAAGCATGAATATATTCATTCTTATGAGGCTTTCTCACAAAGAAAGAATAACAGCTTAGGAGGTTGCATGTTTGGTGAGAGTATCAGCAGGAACAGAGTGACAACATAATATGTAGCTCTTTCTAATGTAATAATTCAATATATAAAATTTTACTGTTAGAAAATTTAGAAGCCTCTGGGCATGATGGTGCATGTCTGTAATCCCAGTACTTCCGGAAGCTAAGATAGAAGGACCCCAAGTTCAAGCATAGTCTGATCAATTTAGCAGTTTAGTGAGACTCAATTTTTTAAAAAATCATTTTTTAAAGAGCTGGGGATTGGCTCAGTGGGATAGCCCTTGTTCAGTCCCCACGCTTATAGGGAAATGAGGTGCTGATGCAGAGAGAAACCAACCTGTCATTTTCCTGAGCCTTGGTCATCTGTTCCATTGATAAATGAATTAGTCAAGACTCATGGGCCACACAGAAGGGTGGGCCGCGAGGATTACACCTTCAAGTGAGAAGACAGGCACCTGCCCCAAGTGGGCATCTGGATACATCTTCACGCACCCAGAAGTCACTCTTGAGGTCTGAGGAACTACTGCAGTTACAATGCCTACCAACATTTCACTTGGAAGTTATTTAGGAATGTCTTCCTGTCCTTTTCAGATGGCCAGCGTTTTCTTGGTGGCTTTTATCATGTAAGATACATACAAAAGATAAGTTTTTAAATTAAACCAAGCCCAGGCCAGCCAAGTAGCTCAGTGGATTGAAGCGCCTGCAAGCAGGTTCAGGGGCCACAGGTTCTATCTGAGGACCAGCCATGTCGGCCCCACCCCCTGGGTGCACTGAGAGGGCAGTTGAGCCGTGGTGGGGTGTGCCTGTAATCCCAGCTCTTGGGAGGCTGTAAACAGGCAGATCACTACAAGTCCGATCTAGTAGTGAGATCCTGAACACCCTGTAGACTCTTCCCTAAAATACAAAAATAAATAAATAAATAAACAAACAAACAAACCAAGGCCTAGCCCAAGGCAGAAAGATCTTTAAAGAACATTTTCCCTTCTGTATGAGCAGGCTGTAGGCGGTGGCAGTGTGCCTTGCTCTGGAGCTGGATGGCTGGTGACCAGGCAGCAGGAAGAGAATGCAAAGTGCACAGCCTCAGATGTCACGGTGCTGAGGATGGCGTGGTGGCATCGCTGTGGACCTGAGACCTGACAGATGATGATTAATGTATTAGATATTGAACCTTTCTTTAACTAACTGGCAGTGTATTCTATTCTGTGTTCCCCCCCGCCCCCCTCCCCCCGTCCTTTAGGCCACCTAATATCTAACTGCCTAACACCAATACTGAAGAAAGAAATGAAGAAAGAAACAAAGAAAGGAGGGAAGGAGGGAAGCAGGGAAGAAAGGAAAAGACTAATAAGGGGTGGGAACATAACTCATGTCACAAAGCACATGCCTAGGGAACATGAGATTGTGACTTTCATTCCTGGTACCAAAAAAAAAAAGTATAATAAGTACAAATTTTTATTTTGATGATCTATTTGTATATTTTACTCATTGAGCTATTATCTCACTGTTTAGTTACTCTTCTCTCGTCGCTGGGGCAAATACCGGACACCCAAAGGAAGGAAGGAAAGTTTTATTTAGCTCACAGTTACTGGAGGTTTCAGCCCATGCTCAGCCAACTCCAAGGCAGCTTGACACATGGCAGAGCAAACTTTCCTGGCAGAAGCAAAGAGCAAGAACACAAAAGGAGGAGTAGCAGCAGCTCAAGCAGCTAACTTTGCTTTCCTCCTTACATTGAAATGCAAATTACCTGCCCCAGGGCAGATGCAGCATCCACACCCACAATAATCAATCACAAACTCCAGAAGCTGCCCCAAGACTGCTTGAGGCTTTTGGGGGGAAACCTAGGAACAAACCATAACACTCACTTTTAAAAGAAATACATCAATTCTATGTAAAAGAGGCATTGAGTTTCAATGATACAGAGAACATGATAGTGAATGCTCAATTTTATTATTTTTTTGTCTCAGTATACAAATGACCCTAAAGGATGGAGTTTTCTTCCCCTCACATCACCGCATAGGGGTCTTGCTCCTCCCACTCAGATGAGGGAGCTGGTGATACTCTACACACCCAGACAATTAGAGAGAAAGATGATGCACACAGACACCACGGGAGGGTCCTGGGCTGCAGCCTGCCTTGGGCCAAGCAGAGGAGAGGGCTGGGCCTGTTACCAGCAAGGGTGGGGCTCAGGGAACGTCTCTGCCCATGTGGACTGCCGGCTCTGCACTGGCATCTCCTACAGGCCTGGAGTAAGAAGGAGCTTCTCAGAGGCCTGTCCAGATGTAGGGCAAAGGAGAACCAGAGAGTAAAGCTTCAGAGGAGGGAAGTAACTGCGCACTACCGAGGAGGCCGGGCTCTTTATTACAATGATAATATTCTAGCGATGAAACCTTTAATTAGGTTCACATAAACACAGCACGCTCATATTAAGGGCCCGCAACACAGACCTCACCAGCTTGGGCTGCTGCACAGAAAACAAGTAAAGCACAAGTTTCTACCCCAGAATAGCTGCATTCTCACTACAGAAATGAGAGCGAAAGTTTAAGTAATGTTGTAATTGATGTAAAAAGTATCAATGTTTAGTAAAAGGGGAGGTGGCATTTTCTTGGATACTCTTGAGTTGCCACTTTAAGATTAGTTAGAAAAACCAGTGGCATAAGATTCTCATTGGTTTTTTTTTTATTTTTCAAAGGGTAAGGCTAATTGTGTTTATTTGACTCATCTCAGCAACTCCATGCTTCAGCTGTTTATATAGATTTTGCAGTTGAAAATTGGTAATTTTAAAGTACAGAAGGGCTAGCGAGATAGCTCAGTAGAATAAGCGCTTGCCTGGTAAGTGCAAGGGTCTGAGTTCAATCCCTGGTTACGCAAAAAAAAAAAAAAAAAAAAAAAAAAAAAAAAAAAAAGCGCAGAGTTCCCATATGCACCTAGTATGATTTGCCATCCTTGTATAGCCCTCCAGAGTGATTTATCATGTTCTGCATGCACATATCCACTGTAACTTGTTCTTAAATTTTAAATGATCTTGTGTGTGTTGTCATGTGTGTGTGTGTGTGTGTGTGCGTGTGTGTGTCTGTGTGTCTGTGTGTGTACATGCTATGATGGATGGAATTTGCCTTCATTATAGTCACAAAATTGCATTAGAGGTATTTGAACTATGTCATTAACATTTAATGTGTTTTTATTGCACTGATAAGCTCTTGAAACAAGTACTAGAAGTACTGGCCGTGACTCCTTTCCTTGTGGCTTACTTCCCTGCCCTTGTGGATATTGGTATCACCCTACAATAAAATCATCATCATTACTTTTATTGGAATCTTGTGCTCTTTTTTTAAATTTGGATACTTTTCTTGGCTAACTCATCAGCTTCTACTTCCAATGTTCTATGTTTTTAATGATAAATCTCACCTTAGTTTACTAAAAATGCCTTAAGTAACATGCTATCAGTTATATCAAAGGCATTGTCTCAAGTGAGATTTTAAATTCTTTTTCTGAAGAAAGTATCTAGTTTTTATTTTACTATTTTAATATTTAAAAGTTTCATTTTATCAATTATGCATAAAGTTTGGGCAAACAAGATATAATTAAGTTAATCTAATCAATTTTAATGTGCAAATAATTGAGCACCAGATAAATCAAATAATTTGGGAAGGGTTACACAGCTAATTAAGCATAAATATCTGATATTTTGGCTTCTAATTTGAGCTTCTTTCTTGTATAACATTTTTCCTTTCATTGTTTGCATTAGTTTTACATTGTTTACATTAGTTTCATTGTTATATTAGTTTTTGGCTTTGGTTTTTTGTTTTTTCTTGTTTTGTTTTTTTACTTTCCTGTCAAAATCACTTGGCCAGAGAAAACACATCTACTGTGAAGTCCTGGGAATGAACAGCATGTGTTAATATTATATAAACCACATCTCAATTTTAATATAGCTTTTGGGGGGTAGTTTTTCATTAATTTTTCCAGGGTTCACTGACTTAAATAAATTTTAGGAAATCATTTTATGTTGCCTAAGATAATTTGTTGATATTATATAAGGCAGCACAAGCTTTCAAGCTGTTTTAACGAAGTGTGATGGACAGAGGGTGAGCTGCTCTGGAAGCCTGGTAGAGAGAGCTCCAGAGGTAGGCACCACCTCAGTGAGTAGGGTCAGGGGTCATCATTTGGAACCACTTCCCTGGAACATTTAGAAATTAATACAACCAAAGAGAGCTATGTGCCCTCTTCCTCCTAGGTAGTGGGTTGGTGTCATACCAAGGTAACACAGGCAGTGTATTTTATCAGTAAAACTGTTCATTCCATAATCCCAAAATTCCCATATAAAAGTGATTATAATACTATACAAAAATAATACAAATAATACAAAGGATAAAAATACTAAATGAATGTGCACTTACCTTTGCAAACCCTCATGGCTGATGGTAGGAAGGCAAGAGAAAGGAACACTATTGTGTAGAAATATTGGGCACAGAATGACTGCTCCCTACTGGCTTAGTGGCTTCTTTTTCTTTTCATGAAGGCTTAACAAGGAGCCTAGCCATTGAAATCTGCTTTTGCTTCTTTTGAGGATTTCAAGGAAATATGACATTGCCTTGTGGTTAAACTGATTCATCACTCACACTGCTACAGCCTTGTTTGGGTGGTGCTTTTCTACAAAATTCTTCACTATTTTCCACACTTGACATCTCTTCCTAATGTCATCTTAAGAATTCCTTGGCCTTTTTTCCTTCCACCTCTGCAGATGAGATCTTCTCCATAACCTCTTGCTGTGATCACCCACAATCCCTCAGAGAAGGACAGGGAAAGTGAGAGCAGGACAGAGAAGCAGAGAAAAAGAAGAAGAGAGGGGGAAAAATAAAAGGAGAAAAGAGCCATTGGCTTAGTTCTGATCATGTGACTTTCAGTGTCTCCCACTATAGCACTGAAAAATATTGCTGGTGTATCTAGTAAAAATTTATTAGAAATATTTGCTCATCTTATAGCACACTAGTAAAACATATTACTCACAATCCAAGGTTTTACTAAATAGGAAAGGGTCCTTCAACCTTACAAACATAATGAAATAAAGTTTTAGTAAATATTGTTCACTTTTCTCCAGTTTATCTTATCCATAGGGGAACAACAAACTTTGGTTTTTCAGAAACATAGTATCTGACCTTTGTAATAAATTATCCCCAACCTTGGGCTTTACCTTTTCTTCTCTGGATACTCTATTTGAGGTCCACTGGTATTTTATTTGTTTTATTTTATTTTATCTTACATGAAATGAGTAGGGAAAAAATCCAGACTAATTTATCTGGCATTTTTGAAAAGGTTTACAGCAATTTTTGCTGTCAAATTTAAGGGACATTTGGAAATTATTTGTGTGTGTTATTCATTCTATCAATGTCTCATTAGCTTATTTTATTTAGAACATGCTGCACCACAAAAAGATAAAAAATACACTGATGCATGATCAAAGATAATGACCATTCATTACCATCTGACTAGCATAGATTTTTGCCACGGCTCTGTTTGCAAGGTTAATGTGAGGATAAATGAAAGAAACAAAAAACCTCAAAAGTACTGGAATGTTCTGAAGCAATCAGAAATCCGAGAGGTTAAATCTGGGTGGCATAACAAGGGGTTTCGCTTAGAGGGTTTATTTGCTTAAAATATCAACCTCTCAAGCATCCCTGACACTACTATGAGGGTGTCAGATCTCACTGATCATGCAGCCAGCAGCTCATTAGGAACACAGCATAAAGAAGATAGATTACAAAGTCAAAAAGGTAAACAAGTAAGCGGAGGCTGCAGCAAGCTAAATGCAAAGTCCCTCCCTGGTTATGGTTTTTGAACTTTGTGTACCATAAGTACCCTAAGTCACTCAGTGGCTGCACATTAACCAATGAAGAAGGCCTGGCCCATGGTGGTCATGTGAGTAATAATTTGGAATAAGAAATAAGAAGATAGCAAAAGGCAGGCCAGTATTCCTATGTTTAAAAAATTCCAGTAGAGTATTTTCAATTTACACTCCTTCTCCTTTTCTTGCAAATTCAGTACTGTAACACACAGATGAAATTCTGATGTAATTAGGATAGATCATTGGACTAGATGTGAGGCTGAAGACAATGCGTCACTTATGAAAAGAATCCTGGGCTTTGGTACTTTGTATTTATATGTAATAGAATAATCTACAGTTGCCAGCCAAGCTCCGATAGTATTTGCTATTTGGAGATACGGGCTAATAAATTCTACTCTACTTAGATCAATCTTAAGTGATACTGGGGTGTACTGAACTAATACATTGGGTGGAATTTAGTTGTAAGAATCAGCTATGTTCCCTATATTAAAGACACAGGCAAGTGAAAACTATAGACAAAGGAAAGCGAGTACATGACACTCTACCTAGCTAGCCAGGTCCGCCTTTTCCATATTGGATGCACACATTCCATTTCCAAAGAAGGTTTTACAGGTTTACTTGCCATGATAACACATTTGTATGTTAATTTTTACCTTAGGAAACATAAAACTTTAGAACACTTCCAGAGAGCCACAAACCATTGGGTTACAGGTTCTAGGCTTTTTTACTACAATAATTCTTTAACCTGGTATAACCTTCTAGGGAGTTTATATACAAATATACTCTTTCTCTCAGCATGTATTATTGATTTATCCACCTGCACTTGTGGTTGATACATGAGACCAGTTAACCCCCACTATGCACCTAAACATACCCTCTAAAGGGATTAAACAGACCCTAGACAGATTGCTTTAACTCTTGCCTTCCCAAGGAGTGAACACGGAGACACAAATGAGTTGATATTTGCAAAAAACATCTTCCACAACCACCTAACTATTCATCAATATAATGAATCTTTGAAAACCAAAATAACTGTAAGTGAAATGAACACCAACACTATATCTATAATTTATAACATTAGAAAGTCTCAAAAACTAATCAACAAAATTAAAATATAGGTAATGACAGCAATGATTGTAAATACCCTCCCAATGATCAATGTAAGCATTATACTGCCAACATGGCATTATGAAAACATAATCAGTCCAGCACTCTGCTATATTCTGTCCCCGTATCACACTACCGTCACCATCATCATCTGATGGGTCAGCATTATTATCTTCCTCACTTATCGCATGTAGAATTTCTGGCACAGAGTGATTGAGTACCTTAGCCAGATCTCCACAGGTAGGAGGTTCTGACACCCGGGTGCCATCCAGAGAGTGTGACTTCGCCTTTTGACTTGCTACATCAACTATGAAAGGGGTAGAGGCCTCAAATTCAATCTATTTTGTTACCAATAACACTGGATAAGAAAGAAAGTGATTAAAAATAGTAAGGTTAATTTCATTAATTATTTCATTGCAAAATGAAATAGATTGAATATTGCAATTTTTATGAGGTTGAAAAACATAACTTCATCAAGATGTCTTCAACTTCTCCTGTGAACTCTGCATCACATGAGAGCCCAGAAGGCACAGTAAGGTAGGGGACAGCAGACAGCGTGATGCCTGCTGGGAGACTAGAGCTGGACTCACGGGCTGTGACAAGTGAGATGCATTTCAGCATCAGTATTATAGAGGGGATGATTGAAGCAAATTACACACATAATTTCTTGTCCAAAATAATGTCATTATTGGGCCAAAATTCTGAATCAGATAGGCTTTAACATTGAAACAACTCAGCATGTGATGTTGCTTTGCAACATCCCCAAATAATATGAAAGCTGATAAACTAAAGTGAAAAAAGAATGGTAAACAAGAGAAAGTATGACCTACATTGCCATCTGTTGGGGAAATCAACATCTGTCATATTGAGTGAAAGATGAAGCTTGGAAATTCCCAGTGATTCTCAGCAGCTAGCACTACCAGTTAAGAGGAAAAACAGTTTTCAAGCCTAATATAGTTTTCACATATGCATATACATATACATGTTTACAATGTTACCTCTCTTAGCTGATACATAAAAACCTAAAATTGTACATATTAGTGGGGCATCTTGTGGTATGTTGATGCTTTACTTTAAACATTGTAAAACAAATTAAATCAGATTTAAAATGTTTCCTCAAACAGTTGCTTTTTGCTAAAACAAATTCAACAGCTTCTAGCTTTTTGAGATATGCAGTACGTTATTGTTGTGATTTGGAGAATTTGTACAGAAAAGGAAAATGAACCACAAATCATTCAAAAATAGGAATTTTAACATCTCCACATGTAATTTTAAATCAAATCTGAATAGAGAACTACAAATTATAGTTTCAAAATTTGTCTGCAGAGTAGATTTAGATGCTCTCCAGAAGCACCTTGTAGTTCAAGTAATAGATTCAGGCAAACTGCAGCCAGCAGCAGGAACTCAGCCCAGGGAAGTGAGCCCCAGCAGTGGCACAGTGTCATTCTGAGCAATTATTTAATTCTTTGGGCCTAGGTTTCCCTGACTGTAGTGGTTGAGATATAGGATTAAGTTAAGTGATTTCCAGATTACTTCAAATTGTAGTCTTCCTTATATTGTTTACCTCTTTAGAATATCAATTAATAACAATTTCATGCATACTTGAAATGTTTATAGTTGCAAGTTCCAACAGCTGCTTGCCATGTTTTCTTTTCTTCAGTTTTCCTGAACGTTTGCATGTGTACCTGTTCTCTCCTCTAGGGTGGAGTTAATGGCTTGACTGGGGAGCTAGAATTTGGAGAAAACGGAGGCAATCCCAATGTCCATTTTGAAATTCTTGGGACCAATTATGGCGAAGAGATTGGCAGAGGTGTTCGCAAAGTAAGCCGAGACCCACTTACTCATGTGTTTTCACGTATGCTATTTATGGCTTTGCTTAGTTGCTTTGTTTGTAATGTGATCAGAATACACTGAAGTTCATATTGAACTTAGAAAAAGAAAGTTGAAAGGAGGCAAGGAGAGAGGCAGAAAAGAGTGGGAACCCAGCACTGAAAACATCTCACATACTTGCTGGGAGTAGTAACCAATATTCACTTTGGGCCTTAGGACAATTTAAAGGAAGGAAAAGTAATCTGATGTGCACTAGTTGGCTGGTATTATCTTTTACTTATTATACTTTTCAAAAGTAGTGAATTTAATATTTATATAATGCCTATCTACTTTTAAATTTGTAACATGTATAAATACAGAATAATACCTTGGGCAAATTTCATATGGTAGTACAAAAAGTATTCTATAAAATGTGACTTCATAGTATTTCACCATCTATGCTTGCCATTAATACAGAAAATACTTCAAGGCAATGAACTCTTGTTAGGTACAGATCACATGTAAGAAATAGCTAAGTAAAGAGTGTTTCATGAAATACTGGGACAGTATCTCTCTCAACGAGAAACATAAGAGTCCCTAGAACAGTGACTTTTCTATAGTTGGGATTTGCCATTTTTATGTATTTTTGGTGGGGGAGACCTAATCAAATACACATAAGAGCTTATGTCTGTAAGTTTCTAACCATATGTAGAGGCCTGCACTGAGTGATCCTTGGTGGCTTTCCCATAGTGTTCTTTTCATGTGAGATGCAAAACAAAATCTACACTAAATGAATCAAGGAGTTGTTAGTACCCGCAATAAAAATTTTTTAGTACAGAAATGTATACTGACTTGAACCCATTTTACCACGTTTTAATTTTTGCTTTATACTAGAGTAACAAAAGTATAGAAAACAGTACAGCACAAGATGGTTTTAGTGAATTATTTTAAAAGAAACAGGTGCTACTGTGATTGAGAAATAGAATGCACCAGGCATCCTAAACACTCCTCCATTGTCCTCCCTGACAACTTGCCACCATACTTTCCCTTTTGTAGTATAATCTTTAGTCTGAATTTTATCATAGTATGTTATTTTCTAAGTATAGTTTTATCGTGTTTGCATCATCATTCATTTTACTAGTATTTTAGTCTATGAATATTACATGTATTATTTTTCTTGCTTCTGTTCAAATGTTCATGTTATTCATGTTTGCTGCAGTTTATTCATCTCTATTGGTTTGTTGTAAGAATGTGTCACACTTTAGTTTCCATTTTTAGACTACTACAACCAGTATTGTTACATCGTTCTGGAATGAAGCCTCTTGGCTATATATGCTCTTGTAGTTATGCCTGTGTGTTTTATCCAGGAATAGACTGGGAATCCAAGTAAGCACATGAGAAGTCCTGGAAAGTATAAAACTCTTTTTTGTAGAATCTTTCAGAGCACTAAAATGTTGGAATGTTCTCATTACTCCATTTTTTATTCAACTATTGGATTTGTTTTTATTAATTTTTTGCTTAAGATATATCCTGGTAATTTCAATTTACATTTCTGTGATTATAGAAAAGCTCTGAAAATTTTCCTATATTTTCTAGCTGTTCAGCTTTCTTTTGGAATGAGCTGCCTAGTCACAGTTTTTGGCCATCAGGGGAAGAGAGAAATAAATGTATTTAGGTATAGATATAAGAATTGATGCTTGTCCTTTGTCACTTAATCATGTCTCTAAAGATTTTATTTTCATTCTTTCATAACACTTTAAATTTAGTAGAATTATAAATTTTCACCAAATGACTATTATTATTGAAGAAATTATTTTCTTTTCTCAAAGTCATAAAATATATTCTGTTATCCTCCAACAATTTTATGCTTTTGTCTTTTAGTTTGAAGTCTTCTAACTGGAATTTTTAATATATAGGATAAGAAAAGAGGAAAATTTCATCATGCACTGTAGTAACATGTTTGATTCATTAAAGCATGAAGACAACTTTAATTGTATGGTGATTTTCAATAACATCATTTACAATGTGACTTCCATCTAGATGAAATTATAGATTTGTATCACGCAGAAAATCACTTCCTTCTTAACAACAGAGACAGTTTTCTTGGTCTGGGAATGTATATAAACAGATAATGTAGCACCAGCTAAATAGTTCAGTAGATTAAAGTGACTGCAAGCAGGCACAGGGGCTGGAGGTTCAATCCCCTGACCTGCCATGCCACCCCACCCCCGGGGTGTGCTGATGTGGTGATTGAGACTGGGCGTGGTGGTGCACTCCTGTAGTCCCAGCTCTTGGGAGGCTGTAAACAGGCAGATCACTATAAGTCCGATCTAGTAGTGAGTAAATACAAAAAATTTTAAAAAAGATAATATAGTATATTGTCACTTATGTCTTTTTTCTCTCTTCATGTATTTTTATTATATTTTATCTTATTGAGAAACAAATATCAATGAGACACTTTCCAAGCTGATGCCTTCATGTATTTTTATTTTTATAATAGATCCATATTTTCCTTAAGTTTGGGGTTTTGTTGTTCATTTAATTGATATTCTTGGGTAGTTTTAAATTCCATGAATATAAAAGTTACCTTTAAATTTTTTACTTTCTGTTTACTTCTAATATATGCAAATAATTGATATTCTATAGCCAGCTGTGGTGTTCACCATTGTAGTCTTAATAACTTCTGTAAAAATTCTTGTCCACTTGCTCCAAATTGTTTTACCAACCACAGTTAATGGGAGTTTCTTTCTTTTTTTTTTTTTTAAAGAAGATTTTTTTTAATTTTATTTATTTGTGTGTGTGTGTGCGTGTGTGTGTGTGTGTGTGGCCAGCTCAGCCCACCAGGGGGCAGGGCTGACTGGCATGTGGTGCTGGGGGATTGAACCATGGTCCCTGTGCTTTTATGCTAAGCTTATTCTAAGTAGGTGCTTTAGACCACTGAGCCATCTCACCAGCCCCACTAATGGGAGTTTCTTCTGAGCGACGGAGGCAAGAAGATCTATAGCGGCTGTTAGAGCTGCGAGGCCAAGGGGAAGGCAACCGATAGAGGCCATGACGTGCTCCCAGGCACTGGCAGTCTGAGGAAGCATAGAGAACTGGCAACTCCAAGAAATCTGTGGATTGCCTTCTTAGAACTGATTTCTGCCAGATATGATAGCAGAGCTTTTGTGTCTTTTCAGAAGGCAGCTAGAGTGGCACTAATCAAAAGGGCTTTTTCAAAGAGGAAACAAGTTTTTGAACTTCTATGAGCTCGTGTCCAGGTCAGTTGGCTTTTGAATCCAGAACTGGGGTCTCTTCATGTAAAGGCAAAAAGGTGCTGATCCACAGGAGTCAATTAAAGGCAGCATAAGGCATATTTTAGGTCTAGGCAGCTGTAACACTGGGCTGTGGTTGGCGGAGATGAGGCAACATATACAAAGGGCAGTTGCAGTGGTATTGGAGACTTGGAGGTCTTGAGCTGGCTTTACAGAGGTGTACCATTTGTTGCAGTCGGAAGTTGCTTTGGAACAGAGCTCAGACTAAAGGGCCCTGATTGATTGCAAGCCCAGGGATGAATCTTTTGTCCATACTTCTAAAAACTTGTCTCTCAAAATGTCAGGGTTATGATTATCAGGTGTTTTAGGGTGATGTAGGTTCTATTCTTTCTTCCAGGGCACAGCCAGAGTCAGTATCCAGTATGGACAGCGGCCCCAAGTGTGAGGGAGACTGTTCACATCTGAGGAAAGGTATAGGGCACTCAAGCATGCAAAAGAATTCATGCTTGATAAAGTGTCCCTCAATCTCATAGGTTCTGCTTTGGCAGAATTTCTTTCTGAATGGGGCTCCAGTGGATAATTTTAGTAACTTTAGATATACTTATTGGCTTCTTGCCTCCCTCTTTGAGGTCAGCTAGGAGAGCATGAAACCAATCTAAGGTTTCATGGCCCTCTGTCACATTACAGTCACAGTTTGGACTCATTTGGAGAAAAACTATGTTCATCCAAGTATCAGGATTAATCAGCAGGGAAAAGGAAACGTTTGACTTTAAACAGGCTTGCCCCAGCTAAAATGATTCAGTATTAAAGAGCCAGAAGGAGTTGCTAACAAATGCCCCATGTTAACAGGTGGGTACACAGGTAGGAGAGTTCTTCACGCCTTATGGCAACTGAGTCCAAATGAATCAGTCAGGGAGAGCAGGAGGCTGTGGTACAGGACACAGAACTGGTGGCAGTGGCATCTTGGCTAGCTGAGCAGCTTGGGGTTGATGAATGCAAGGAACAGGCAAGTTGGATTCGGGGTGCTTGGGCAGAACAGTATAGAGCTTTTCTATCTTGGGCTAAACCTGAGAGCTTCCCAAGTGGCCTTGCAGGTTTGTTTTGGTGATCAGAGTGGCTTTCTTGTGCAGGACACAGGTGTGGAGCCATGGTAGGAGAGCTCTTAACCACTTATGGCAACTGAGTCCAAGCGAGCTGGTCTTTTGTCTCAGGATATTTCCTGGTTGCAGGGGTTTATGGGAACACCTTACAGTAGAGGAAGGCCTCTTAGATCTACAACAGTCCCAAAAGCGTGTATGAGTCAGGAGCTACAGAGAGCAAGCCGATGGCTGCATTGTTGATGGCACAGAGATTCTACCCAAGCTGATTAGCAGTCTGTCAGGCTGATGTGTGGCTGGATGCCTGCTTATGTTTCCCGTGATAACTGACAGCTACAGGGGTCAAGGTGAGGTGACATGGTTGGTGGCAAATCCTGAAGGTGAATCTGTAGGTCTTAACTCTGGGAGAAGTTTCAGAACTTCAAGATTACTGTTATCTTCCTCAGGATGATGCAAGCATCATCTCTCTCTCAGGGAACAGTCAAAGTTGAAAGTTCAGAGTAACATGAGAGGGAGGCTGATGGGCTTGGTGCGAAGGAGGTGTCCTCCTAGCATACAAGTTTGTGCCTGGTAGAAGGGATGAGTGGCAAGGGTCCCAGTTGCCCCACGGATGGTAACTTATTGACACAATGAACTTTTGAAGGCGAAGAGTTCTGTTCTA